TCTCTCTCTCTCTCTCTCTCTCTCTCTCTCTCTCTCTCTCTCTCTCTCTTTCTCTCTCTCTCTTTCTCTGTGTGTGTGTGTGTGTGTGTGTGTGTGTGTGTGTGTGTATGCACGCTCCCTTTACTGGTTACCTTCCTTTTCCTAAACAGTTGCCCTCTACTTTCAAGTTTTTTATTCCTAAATCAATAAACCCTAAGCCTGTATTATGGCTAGGAACCTCCATTTAATATATTCCTCATAAGATTTTTATTTACAAAACTGTGATCATCATTGATTTAAAGATTTTCTTAAACCTTATTATTTTTTTTTTTGACAAGGTTGAGTGCTAGGATTCCTGACATGTAATCGCATGTCCAGTTTATGGGGTACTGGTTTTCATGCATGCTGCATGAACACCATGCCAACAGAGTATTAGCTCAGCTTTGAAAAAATTTGGTTTGAGACAAGAGCTCATGGTCCTCCTGACTGACTCCTGTGTGCTAGGATGACAGCCTTACCGCCACACCTGCCTTGCTTGTTTTTACATAGCAGAATAGAAGCTAGGTACAGGAGAGCACACTCTCATGGAGTGACAGTGGAAGATGGACAGAGAGATCATAGTGCCAGTCTCCGTTTTAGACAACCTCCATTTCTAAAGCCTCTAAAGAAGACAGTGCTTCCCGTGACATATTTTCCTATTCAGGTGACTGAAAGGCCCATTTGAGTTGACCTTTACTGAGGAGATAATATAATATATTCTTATTCTTTTTAAAAAATTTGTGTGTTTCACCTCATGAATGTATGTGTACACACATGTGCCTAGTTCCTGTGGAGGCCAGAAGAGGGCATTGGGTCCCCTGGAACTGGAGTTAGATGTGGTTGTGAGATGTCCTGTGGGTGCTAGGAACTGAACCCAGGTACTCTATAAGAGCAGCTAGTGCTCTTATCCACTGAGCCATCTCTCCAGCCCTCTGTATCCTTCTTCTTTATCAGCTCCAGTTAAATAGTAATCTTGTAAAGTTGGGTATTTGGTGATGACCTTCTGCATAATTCAGAATAAGACTTAACTCTCATAGTTTTGACCAGTAGTAATCCTTCAGTTTTAGTTCTTGGTTTTAAAAGCTGCTGAGTTTTAATGACCTTCAAGCCTGATAATATCTAACTATCAAACTAGCTACTTAGCAATACCCCTTGAACAATTGAGACCCTAAAAATCACTTAGATGGGTATCTCGGTCTAGCTTAATGTTTAAAATAGACTGGTGTTTAAGATCTCTACACTTAGTTATTTTAAGGCCTTAGAAATCAAAAGAACTTAGATTATGGAGTTATTTCTGCAGGGTTATCTGAGAAGGATCAATAACAGCAGTTCAGAGACTCACAGGGTGACCGGTGAGATTATAACAGGTGTAACCCATTTCCACCATGAAAATTAATGAGATCCAGTTCCAAACCTGATTTTATAAGTATCCAGCGTGTTTGTTTGATGGTATACACCTTTAATTCCAGCAAGAAGCAGGTATATCTGTAAATTGGAGGCCATCCTGTTCTATATAATAATTTCCAGGCCAACCAGATCTACATAGTAAGACTCTGTCTCCAAAAACAAAGTCAGTCAAACAAAAAGCAATAATAAAGTTTGTTTTGGTTTCTGGTAATAGTAGGGCTGGCATGGTAACTAGAGATAAACAGGAAGCTGGTTGATTACATTTCATCTCACAGAAAGCAGAGAATAAACTGGAAGTGGGATAAGGCTTCATGTCCTGAAGTTTCCATAACCTCCCTAAGCAGCATCACCAACTGAGGACCGAGTGTTCGAATACCCGTGCCTATTTGGAATATTTCTTATTTAAACCATCACAGCTGTTAGTCCGCAGAAGGCCCTAATTAGCCCTAAATAGCTTGGCTACAGATTGGATGAAAGAGCTCTGTGCTCTCGGGTGAAGATGTGTCCTAGATATAATTGTCTTGGGATAGTTGGGCCCTGAGCTTAAAGACTTTGTCACCAAATATGTTTGTTACTATTCTCGCTGCTGAAACACAATATCCTAACCAAAGCAGCTTAAGAAAGGGTTAATTAGTTGGCTTATGGTTCCAGGGCACAGTTCATCATGGCTGTAGGGCTGGTCTCATTGCAGCTTCAGGCAGGTATGGAGGAAGGTGAAATTCTGCTGTTTCCTTTACTTTCTCCGTTTTGCTCATTGCAGGACCTTCACTTTGATATAGGCTTTTTTTGCCCATCTTGACCCAATTTAGAAACTCCCTTGTAGGCATGCCAGAAGTATCTCACCTAGTCAACAGTGATAATCATCACAGCATTGAAGTCCCCATTAGTTATTGTAGTTGGAATAATTCTAAGTTTTTATTGCTGTGATAAAACAATTTGACCATAAATAACTTGGGGAGAAAGAGGTTTATCTGACTTTCACGTCTATGTCATATTATTGAGGGAAAGTTAAGGCAGTGTGTGGGCTTTTTCACACAGATCAGGACTACCTGTCTAGGGATGGTGCTACCTGCAGTGGGCGGAGTGAGCCCTTCTACATCAGCTGGCAATCAAACAGTGCCCATAGATCAAGGCAATTGTAATTGAGGGTTCCTCTTCCCAGATGACTCTAGTAGTGTCAAGTTGACAAATCTAACTAGAACATCAGGGTTCAGGCAGGAGAAAATATTCACACTTAGAAAAGCATGAGATAATTATAGTCTGATGGCTGTGAATGCCCTACCTGGTGTGTTGGTAGCCCACATTGGGGTGTGACGGGAAACCTTATAAAAACTGAGTTGGTCTTTGTCCTTTTAAAAATTCTAATGTAGTTCTTGTTTTATAGTATTGTTAATCTAGTTTTTGTCTGTGCTTTACTGCTGGATATTTAAAACAATTACAGGTGGCCAAAATTTAGTCTATTTTCTTTTTATTGTGAAGGCTTCTTAGGGTTACTTTTAGGGACTTAGTGGAGCCCCTTGGCTTCTTTAGTTTTCCTCCACCCATCTGTGCCATCTTCTGGGATGGGTCAGGCTCTGCTGAACACATGTATTCTCATGGAAACATCAGAGACATTCTGTCTGAAATGACCTTTGTATTTGCAGATTGTATGCTGGTTGGAGTCCTAGGGACTTTCCTAGCTCTGATGGAGAGGCAGTGAATGACTCGTAGGACACTTTTAGGGGTGTTCTCTCCTGGGATTATTGACTGTCCTCTAATGCCCCTTGATCTTCATTGGCTTTGGTTCCTAAGTATGACCAAGTGTAGCCAAGGACAGTGAGCATCAATCGTGAAGAATGAAGAGCTGTTTCAAATTTATATTTGTAACATTTAGATAGGGATTGATAAAAACCCATTTAAAAGTAGCTCTAACACAGGAGGAAAACAATTGCTGACTACCCTAAGGAACCATTGAAAATGAGACTTGGTTTTTCTTTCAGGTTAATCTGAGAAACTTAGGCTTCTAAGACATGCAATTTTTCTAGATTTTGATATCAAATACCCACATGTATTTCTTCCTGTTAGTTCGCTTCCGGACAACTACAGGACTTGATTCTGCTGTAGATCCTGTCCAGATGAAAAATGTTACTTTTGAACATGTTAAAGGGGTAAGTTAAGATTTCTTTGCTTTCTTTGTAATTTACCTTATTGATATTCTGCATTGGACTTCCATATAGTTAAACCAGTTGTCCCAAACTTTTTTTGCAGTTTAAGGCTATGAGCCCTGTTTGCATTGCAGAAAGGGTTGAGGAAGTTATTGGTATGATGATTATTTAAAACTTGAGTCCTCAGTGTGGCAGGCCCTCTCTATTCTGACTTGAGTTTTACGGTAACATGCTTGCTTTGATTTGAGTTCCTACTGCTAGAAAGATGGTTTAGTGGTTAAGAGCACTTTCTTTTCTTGACAGCACCCCCTATGCCGCAGCACCCACATTGAGTAACTCATAACTTACAACTCTTGCCCCAGTGGATCTGACTCCTCTTCTGACTTCCATGAGCACCTGACTCAACATGCACATGCCCCACACAGACACATATATACCATCAAAATGAAAGTCAGTCTTTAGAAAACAGAATTCTTGTTGAGCTGTTTTTGGTTGAGTTATTTTAAGTTTCTGTCTGCAGTGGGGATGAAGGAATGTCTGAGTATAAAACTAGAGACAGGCAGAAAACTAAATATTCGTTAATGAAGTAGCTTCTGACAAATGTAAATTCATAGGAGCAAAGTAACTTGTAGGTTTGCTATTACACAGTTTTCTCAAGTCTTCAGAAATGTACATAAGGGCTGGAGAGATGGCTCAGCGGTTAAGAGCATTGCCTGCTCTTCCATAGGTCCTGAGTTCAATTCCCAGCAACCACATGGTGGCTCACAACCATCTGTAATGAGGTCTGGTGCCCTCTTCTGGCCTGCAGGCAGAATATTGTATACATAATTAATAAATATTACAAAAAAAAAGAAATGTACATAAGAATCATTTCTTGCCCAGGATTTTTGAGTATGTAAGTACATTTATATGGAGCTGCTTTAAAAACTAAGAACTGTTTAGAACGTCGTTATCTACCTCACCCTGTAGCTTTTCTGTTGCTCAACTGGAGGTACACTTGCCACAGAGATTGGGGACAGGATATTAGTTAGTTGAGAAGTGAACAGTGTTTCCTGTCTCTTGCTTTAGTCTTAGAATTTTAAATTGCCGTTTTACCCATTATTTTAAGTTAGCTATGTTTTAGTCTTTCAATGTGTAGTAAGATGTTCTTTTTAAATAACTCAGCAAATCTTTTGAAGTTCAACATACTTGCTTAAAAATACACAATTAATAAATTTCAAGAATGAGCACATAGTTTTCACCAGTTCTTAGCCCAACAAAGACCGTGAGAACCCCAGAGTCCCCCCAGCCTCTTCTGGTTATTGTCCCTACCACTGAAAGGAGGGTTATCCAGTCAGGGCCTTTACTCTAGCTCTGCTTCCATTTTTTTTGCTTTTTTTAGGAGCAGCAGGATGCATCGAATATCCTGTTTTGCATCTTTCTTCTTTTGCCCAACATGATGATTTTGGTTGGGGTGTGGCCATGCTGTGTAGAGCAGTCGTTCACGTATCCTGATTGCACAGTTTGCCTTATGTGGCTATCGAAATTTGCTCTTTTTAACTAACTTAGACATTTTTGGTTGTTTATAATTTGGAACTCTAATATTGTATGTACCTTGTGCATTTTGGTGAACATGTGTCCTTTTTCCTGGGGCTGGTCATGAGTACAACTTTATTTTTAATTATTATCATTACAACATTTTAGTAAAAATCTAAGTGATTTAGTCAGAATAACTTTCAAAGTCCATTGAAGAACTAAAACAAACAAACCTTTTCTTTTCCTTTTTTTTTTTTTTTTTTTTTTTGATTTTCGAGACAGGGTTTCTCCATAGCTTTTTTGGAGCCTGTCCTGGAACTAGCTCTTCTAGACCAGGCTGGCCTCGAACTCACAGAGATCCGCCTGCCTCTGCCTCCTGAGTGCTGGGATTAAAGGCGTGCGCCACCGCCGCCCGGCTTAAACAGACCTTTTCTTGTTCTGGTAATGATGTTTTCTGGAAATAGTTTTGTGAAATTTTCTAGAAATATAATCATGACCTAAACAGCTTAGGTTTTCTGATTGCTCTTTCGCCTTATGCTGTTTGTTCTAATAGTTTCAGCTTAACTCTGACCAATATATTTGACTTGTTTTGCCTTCTTAGTAAAAGTAGGGACTTAAAATGATTTTTGTTGGCATAATAAGGATGCCATGTAATTGGAAATAAGGATTAGAAAACCTTTAGCATATTAAAAAAATGTGTTACCAAAAAAGGCCAAATTCACTCATAGCTATAGTAAAAATATGATTACCAAAGAGGAAACCTTGATAATCTAACTTTTATTTGGTTATTTGGTAAATTGCACCATTTAAGGTGGAGGAAGCCAAACAAGAATTACAGGAAGTGGTTGAATTCTTGAAAAATCCACAAAAATTTACTGTGCTTGGAGGCAAACTTCCTAAAGGTAAGATATTTTCCTTTTGTCATAATTGGTGTAAATCATAGAATAATAGATTACAAATTTTATTTGCCCATATTAGAATTGAGTAGGTTCAGTTCCTAATTTTTGTTTTTAAAAATACGTGCTTATTCCACACATAAAGTTCTGTGCCTACTTTCTAGTAAGACATGATACTTCTTTAAATGCTTAGCTGTACATTTACCAAAAAGGGTGTTTTTAGTTAAATTTTTAAAAAAAACTTTACGCATATGGATGTTTTGCCTGTATGTATTTCTGCCTACTGGGTGTTTGCCAGGTGCCAGTGGAGGCAAGACAAGAGCATTAGATCACCCAGGACTAGAATTACACGGTTTGTGAGCTGCCATGTGGGTGCTAAGAATTGAACTCAGGCCCTCTAAAACACTGAGCCATCTCTCCAACCTCACATAAAGTTGTTTTTTTTTTTTTTTTTTCTGTAGCTTTAAAACTAGTGCTTTTACATGGACACAAAACTGTTAACTTCACTACTTCATACAAAAGTTCAGCATTTGTTCAGCATTTGCTCTAGTAATGATCTTTCAAATGTCACTACCCCTATCTGGGTCCGGCACCAACTCAGGGTCACACTGAGCACTGATGTTTTTGTTCTCCTTTTGTTTTGTTCTTGTACTGGAGAGCAAACTCACTTCCCTTGTACATAGTAGGTAAGCACTGAGTACACTCCTACTCCTTAGAATTTCCTTTTTTAATGTGAGAATTCTTGAGGATTTCTGAGACGTGGGAACTGTGGAAATTGTCCTTATGATCTTTTCAGTTATGAAGACTACATGCTAATTATTTGTAACATTATACTTTTATGTAAACTTTTTTTTCTATTAAAAATAGCAGTTTGATGACCACTCTAACCCGGCTTTGTCCTTTAGCCAAATTATTTACTTGGAATAGGTTTCTAATGGGCAATTGGGTCTATATAGTTTATCCAGTATGCACAAGCTTAAGATTTGATTTCCACCTGGTATAAACTGAGCCTGTAATCCCAACACTTGGGAGGTAGAAGCAGGAGGATCAAAAATTTGAGGTTAGCCTGAAAAACAGGAGACCCTTCTCTAAAGAGAAAAAGAAACAAATTTCTAGAAATGAAATTACTTTGTTAAAGATTAATTTGTTTGTTGTCTTCCAAGGAAGGTTTCAGGCTCGTAGTTTTAGAAGTTTTAATCCACAGTCCTAATGCATCCCTGAGGTTTGAGGTGAGGCTAGGCATACAGTGCATGGTAGCACAAGCTTGTCTCCTCACAGTAACCAGAAATCAAGGAGTAGAGGGCAGAGTGGAGAGCATGGGATAGCATCAAGACACATCTATCCCCTAAGGCATGTCTCCAGTGACCCACCTCTTCCCACTAGGTTCCTCTCTGAGTTTTAACAGTTTTGCCATAGCACCAGTAGCTTAGGGAAACCTTTAACATGCAGGTATTTGGTAGCTGTGTTAAATGATCCAAAGGCACTGCAGGTTTAAGGCTAGATTTTAGACCACTGAGCATCTCTTCTGGAAACTTCTGGAAAAGTTTCCTTAAACTTTTTCCACTTAGGGGTACAGTGATGTAATAGCATAGAGAGAATATTTAAAACTATAATTATACTCAATTTCTTATTAATTTATGGAAAATTTTTGAGGTATACACTAAGATATGTCAAAATTAATAAGCAGCTCAAACCAGTTGGATATCACTTAAAACATGGTAATACTAATGTAAACTTTATACTGTTTTTGAGCTTGTTTTTAGTTTTTTAATATTGAAATGTAACATCACTATAGTTTTGTTGTTTTTTAATGTAATTACAAGAGTTAAACAGATCAGGAATTCTTTTCCAGTTTACTATGGGAAAAGCTTATTGGTATGAAAACTTAAGTGTTTGGGAAATCTTAGAATACTAGCAGCAGTTAATACTGATGTATTCTCACCCTATACTCAACAGTATTTGACATTCTGTCAAATAATTTTCTCAGTGTTTGCCTATATGTACATTTCATTTCTTCCTTGAATATAAGAAAGCTGTAGACATCAACTATGTGTCACCTACAAATAAAGACATTGCTGTAATCTTATCTAATCCAGCCCAAATTAGCATTATTTCTTTAATATCATTGGTTTTTAAATTTTTTATTTTATACCAAATGGCTAGAAAATATTTTTTTGGTCTTTAATGGAACTATATTACCAAGATTTTTCCATTATATTTGACTGCATATCTTTCTTTCGTTTTTTGTTGTTGTTGTTGTTGTTTTTTGTTTTATGAGATGGTTTCTTTGTGTAACCCTGGTTGTCCTGGAACTTGCTTTATTGACCAGGCTGGCCTTGACCTCACCAGATATCCACCCACCTCTACCTCCAGAGGGCTAGTATTAAAGATGTGTGCCCAGTTTGGCTGCATATCTTTTAGTGTGAGTTTTATGTTGTACAGAACGAGTACTCTGTATTACTTTGTCTTCATTTTCGTTCTTGTTTTACTTGTTGATGTGTGAATTTTACATATATGTTTATGTCTGTTCGTTTGTTTGTTTGAACCAGAGTCTCATTCTGTACCTGGCTGGCCTGAAGCTCCTTATGTAGTATGTAGACCAGGCTGGCCTCAAATGCACAGAGATCTACCTGCTTCTGCCTCCCTAGTGCTAGGATTAAAGGTGTGTGCCACTCCTGGCTGTAAATAATATTTAAATGGCACAGGAAAGTTAGTTGTAGAGAAAATCTTGAAGTGAACAGTAGAAGCGTAGTTTCTTTGCCAAGTTTGGCAATATTGATCATTACTGTCATTTCTATTATAAAAATTAATAATTATGAATGTTGAAGGTTCTTATCAAGGGATTTAAAAATAATGGATCATTCTTGTCTGCTTTTTTTCCTTTTAGGAATTCTTTTGGTTGGGCCACCAGGAACAGGGAAGACACTTCTAGCCCGAGCTGTGGCTGGAGAAGCAGATGTTCCTTTTTACTACGCTTCTGGGTCAGAATTCGATGAGATGTTTGTGGGTGTAGGAGCCAGCAGGATCAGAAATCTTTTTAGTATGTTTTGATGTATATTTTAGACAATGTTACATTTTTGTTACTTAGAGAAACAGTAATGTTTTATTTATTTACACTTTTCTTGATAATTTCTTCTATTGAATTTCTGAAAAAAAATGGGCTTTAGTTTCAAGCAACTTAATGATAGAACTAAAATGGATTTGTAATCTTTATTTAGACAGTTTTATTATTATTGTGTGTATGTATGGGGTGTGTGTGTGTGTGTGTGTGTGTGTGTGTGTGTGTGTGTGTGTGTGTGTGATCCATGCAGTCAGTTCTCTTCCACCTTTGAGTTCTGGGAATTTGAACTAAAGTCCATTTTCTACTGAGATATGTTGAAAGCCCTGTATTCTAAAACAGGTTTAATAAGGCTTAGTAGGAATACAAGATGAAGTTAGGGACTATTGAAAGTTAATTCTTGAATTTTTAGTTTTCCATTTTATTTATCGATTCTGTAGCATTATATTAAGAGTTATTAACTTCAATTCCAATTATATTAATTTGTACAGTTGGAAAGAATGGATAGCCAGTTCTCATTTTGTCATGTTCAGTACAACCCCCTCCTCCAACATTATTATTTTAGTAAAATGTTTTACTACATAGTTTTTCTTCTACTATGACTTTTTTTATACTGATAGTCTTAATATTTTTATGATAAAAGGTGTTAATTTCTTTCAACTTACTTGAATCTTTTTTTGTTTTTTTAGGAGAAGCAAAAGCAAATGCTCCTTGCGTTATATTTATTGATGAATTAGATTCTGTTGGTGGAAAGAGAATTGAATCTCCAATGCATCCATATTCAAGGCAGACTATCAATCAACTTCTTGCTGAAATGGATGGGTAATTGAGTCTTTGTTAAATATATGAAATAATTTAAAAGTTAGCATTTATCCAATTTAATGATAATTTAGAGTAACAGGTATCTTCAGCATTTGATATTTATACACTTGATTTTGTGTAAGTTCTTATGAAGGATTTGGTAAAATTGTATAGATATTAAATGTTACATGTATAGATAACAATCATCTCATGTAAGAAGTCAAATTTTTCTTTCATGTTTTTTGTATTACTAATTGATGTATCAGTTTCTCTCGAAATTGTAAATGTATACTTATTTTTAATTTATTATATTTATAAGAGAAAAACAATGATTCAAGCACAAATTGTCTAAAGAAAGATATGGAGGATAGGTATAGCTCAGTTGTAGATCGTCTGCTTCTAGTATACATGAATACCTGGGTTAGATCCCATAAAGTAAGGATTAATACACTAGTTTCTGTCTAGTTGATGACCGAATGTTGTGGTCAACTTAAAACTTACATCTGTGTTCATAATACAGAAAGGAAGAAATGTCACTTTGAATGAACTTTTTGTTGTTGTTGTTGTTTTTTGAAGACAGTGTTTCTCTGTAGCTTTGGAACCTGTACTGGAATTAGCTCTTTTAGACCAGACTGGCCTTGAACTCACAGAGATTCTCCTGCCTCTGCCTCCTGTATGCTGGGATTAAAGGCATAAGCCACCACCGCCCAGCTTGAATGAACTTTCTTAATGTCAGCATGAGACATTTTGATTAAATAGAGATCTAAGACCAAATAATTTGAATTGGTAAAGTTAAAAACACTTTTTTTGATATTTAATTAGGCACCTGTGCCATCTATGTCAGGTTGTTTTCCTAAGTAACCGTTTATCTAAATGGTTTATTATCAGTTACAGTCAGTGATGATCAGCTTTATATATGGGTGTTTTCACATGTAAGCTGTGCTTCAGTCAGTGAAATGGTACTATTTTTTTTCCTTTCTAGTTTCAAACCCAATGAAGGAGTAATCATTATAGGTGCCACAAATTTCCCAGAGGCGTTAGATAAGTAAGTATGAAGAGTTCTGTGAAGTACTGTCATATGCTACATACAATCTTACACAGTTCTGTGAAGTACTGTCATATGCTACATACAGTCTTACACAGTTCTGTGAAGTACTGTCATATGCTACATACAGTCTTACACAGTTCTGTGAAGTACTGTCATATGCTACATACAATCTTACACAGTTCCGTTTATAGGGAATGTTTAGAATAAGCAAACCCAGAGACAGATTAGCTACAAGAGGCTTGGGGATTGTGACATAATTACTAGTGGACATAGAATTCCTAAAATAGAAAATTGTTCTAAAATTAAATCAAAGTGATGCTTGCACAACCTAATATATTAACACCCAAGTGAATTATTTACTTCTCAATAATATTGAAAACATGTATCATATTTAAACAGAAAGCATTTTGAAAGTGAAATTTATAGCATTAAAAGTTTCTGTGTTAGGAAAGGGACTAGAGGTAGCTGAGTGGTAAAGAAAGCAGACTGTTCTGCAGTGGCTCTCAGTTTGATTTCCATCACCCATACCTCCAGCTTTTGGCCACTGTACCTCTGGCTCTTCTGGCCTCGACAGGCACCTGCCCTAAGATGCACCTGTCCCCCTCCCATATTTAAAAATTTTATAAGAGCTTTTTTTGTGTGATTAGTAGCTTGTCTTTTTTAATACAACAGTCCAACATTCTAGATAGCAATTGAGAAGGGAGTGTGTATTTTTAATGATTGTTTTACTACTATAATCAGATCATTTCTTCCTCTTCTTCCATCCTTCAAGTCCTCCCATGTAATCCCCCCCTCCCCCCGCAACACACACACAGATGCACATGCACTACCAAACCAGGCCTTTTTTCAAATTCATGGCCTTTTTTCTTTAATTTTTGGTGTTTGTGTGTGTGAGTATTCCTAAGTATGTGCATACAACCTATTCAGTGTGTATAGTGTTACTTGTATATATATGGTTTTTAGGTCTGACCATTTAGTATTGGATAATCATTTGGTATGCCTTTCCCTGGGAAAGACTTTTGTTCCTGTTTTCAGCATTTTACTTACCTATAGTTCTTTGTCTAGGGTTGAGACCTCATATGCTTTCCCCCATCCACTGTAGCAAAACATGGCATCATCCTTATTGAGGTCGTGATTAGGCAACCATGGTGGTGAGACCCCCTAAGTGTAGGAGATAATCGTCTATATAGGAGCTAACACAGTCTTACAAGTTTCCTGATCCTTTGACTCTTTCGGTCACTGCCCCTCTTCCTAAGTGGCCCTTAAACTTTAGGTGTAGGAGCTTTGTTCTGCGTGTCTCAGTGGGTACTGGGCTCGACAATTCTGCATTTTGATCCTGTGTAGTTTTCTGTAATGATCGCTGTCAGTTGCAAAGAGAAGTTTCGTTGATGTGGGTATAAGAACAAATCCTTAGAATGTGCTTAGGGATAGTGCTGGTTTTGTAAAATAGTGGTTTTAGGTTCTCCTTCACGGTTCTTTACTGGCCTTGAGCAACTGAATAGTTTCTAGTGACAGGCATGACTAAATATAGAAACCACACATCCATCTCCAAATCTTCAGACGTGAGTACATAACCTGGAGTAACTGCACAAACCAAGAAAGCAAAAACAGGACCATCGGAGAAGGGTACAACTGCAGTAGAGAGGATCTGAAGTGGGAATCGGGTAGAGGGAGGGGACTTGACGTAGGGGAGGATAGATAGTGCTGCCTTAGTTGCACATGTATTCGAATGAACCTTTGTTCTGCCTTCTGCTCATTATTTCACATCAGCTTACACTGCATAGTCTGGGTTGGTCTAATACTCCTTAGCTTTTTGAGTCCTGTGGTTGTAGGTGTTCAGTATCCTAGAACCTTCTGAGACTTACTGTCACCGTGCTTCTGAGAGAACTGTGTGAACACTGATATTCAGAAGTCTGTCTTTCTGCCTTATCTTTGGTTGACGTTGTTTCCCTGTCACATGTTTAGTGTATGCTGGCATCTTCAGATTATCAATTTAAATGTATCTTTTTAATTTTCTCTCAGTGCCTTAATACGTCCTGGTCGTTTTGACATGCAAGTTACAGTTCCAAGACCAGATGTGAGGGGTCGGACTGAAATTTTGAAATGGTATCTCAATAAAATAAAGTTTGACAAATGTAAGTTCAATTCCTTGATTCTGACATTAAAATTTCTGTAAAATGGGAATTTATCTAGCCATCCTATTTATGGTCCTTTTTTGGTTTATGCCTCAAACTAATTAGTTTCTTCATTCTCGTTATTCCCATTTTTATGTGCATTCTTCAGTTTGTGTATATTCTTGAATTCTGATCCCAAAGGAAATTTTGTTTGGGGTTTATAGACAGGCATATATATATATAACAAAAAAAGGACTCCATTTAGGAAAAAGCAAAACATAGAGCAAGGCACATAAGACACATGGCGTCACTTGAAAACAGGTGACCAGAGCATAAGCTGCAGTATTTTCAAGACTGTCTTTAATCAACCTGTTTGTTTCCTATAATAAAGGGAGACCAAGGTGTTTGAAAGTGATATTTAAGAGAACAGAATTTGATGGTGAGCGTGCTTTTTCAATTTGTGGTCAGGCTGGACATTAGCATAGGACATACTTAAGATATATTTATTTGTATATTTATTTATTGTGTGTCACTCACTTTACTCTCTATTGATTGCACAGTTCAGTTAAAACGCAAAGCTTGTCAGAGTAGATAAAATAAGAACTAATCATGTGGTATATGTAAAATATAAAGACAAAAAGAAAAAGATATATGGGACCTTCAATAACAATTAACAAAAAAGAAAGCTATCAAACAATATGAAATTCAGGTGGTAATGTTAAAGGAACCAAGCCATCAAAAAGGCATAATGATTCCAAATGAGTACATATTTGGTTTTTTTTGTTTTGTTTTGTTTTATTTTAGTTTTTTTTTTTTTTTGGCGATGGATGGAGATAGAGACAGAGACCCACATTGGAGATATATTTATTTTTATTTTTGTAAACTGTATGTATTTATTCCACATGCACAGTACCAGTAGAGGCCAGAAGAGGAGCTGCCCTGTGGGTGCTGGGAACTGATCCTGGGTTCTTTGCAAGAGCAGTTGGTATTCTTAACTGCTGGGCCATCTCTCCAGGCCCAGCGTAGGTCATATTTGAAGTTTCTAATTTCATTTTTAGTAAGTCCACTTTTTGTTTTGTTTTCAGAAAGTTAATAAAACCTAGAATTTTTCTAGATGTTTTATTGCCAGAAATTATTATTAACAATAACATTACTAATAAATACTAATTAGTATTATTTGCATACAATTGTATTAGTTTCAGTGAATTTAATTTTAGTTTTAAGATATATATTTTAAGTTGTAACTCAGAGTAACTGTACTTTTTTCTACCTCCAAACGTGAGTTCAGTAGAAGAGCTTCTGTGTAGCAATGGGAGATTCCTAATGCTGTTCTCTTTGTCTGTAGCTGTTGATCCAGAAATCATAGCTCGTGGTACTGTTGGATTTTCTGGAGCAGAGTTGGAGAATCTTGTGAACCAAGCTGCATTAAAGGCAGCTGTTGATGGAAAAGAAATGGTTACCATGAAGGAACTAGAGTTTTCTAAGGATAAAATTCTAATGGGTATGTCTTCCTTTTCATCCCCTTGTTCTGCAGGTCATCTTTTTCTTTCTTTTCACCCTGCCCTTTTTTTTAAGACTGACTGTCATACCATAATCCAAACTGGTCAGCTGGCCCTCACTTACACTCATGCACCTCAGGCTGCCTGTGAACTCATGGTAATCATCTTGCCTTAGCCTCCTGAGTGCTGAGATTACTATTGTGAACCACAATGCCTCCAGTCTTTGGAATGAGTCCTCATGTATTCTGTGTGTGTGTGTGTGTTTCTGCCTTCCTGTTATCACAGTGAATCATGGGCTAGCCTGGAACCTATTATTCTCTTACCTCTGGAGTTCTGGGATTATAGGCTACTATTTTAGCAGTTCCTAATATAGTATGGTATTTATCTTAGGACCAGAAAGAAGAAGTGTGGAAATTGATAACAAAAACAAAACCATAACAGCCTATCATGAATCTGGTCATGCTATTATTGCGTATTACACAAAGGATGCAATGCCAATCAATAAAGCTACAATCATGCCTCGGGGGCCAACACTTGGACATGTAAGTTTCCTATAGACCTACCCCTACCCAGTGACTGTGGTTTGAACCCAAGAGACTCAGGCATGGGAATCTGGCTCTCAGCATTGAACCATGTACCAGTTTAGTTTAGTTGTGCTTGCTTGCTTGTTTGCTTTGAGACAGGTCTCACTTCTCACTTTGTAATCCACTCTGTAACTTAACTCTATGTACCCTGAGCAGGCCTGAAACTTGTGGTAATCCTCCTGCCTCACTTTTACAAGTCCTGGGATCACATGTTTGAGACACCTTGCCTTCTGTACCTCATTTTCTTGTTTTAAAATTCACTTTCAAATAAAACTTTGTAGAAGCTTGTTTAGGGAGACTGCGACTTCACAATGATTTTTTTATCCTTTTTGATTTCTTGAACAGTATTGAAATAAGATCCATTTGCTATAATTGATCAGAGTAGTTTTATAATATATTTCAGGTTACATATTTCCAAAAAAATACAATTGAAGAGTGATTATAGACTATGACTTTAAATATCTAAATAAACTACTAGACATAAAGACACATCTTATGCCATAGCAACTGGTTCTGTAGTTCTAAGATGCTTCTCAGTACGTGCTTCGGTCTTGAATCTTTCTAATGTATGACTGGTTGAATATTTTTATGCATCTGGAAAAAAAAAGTCCTATTGCAGCACTATGTAGCTATTGTTTGTAAGATGCACCTGTACAGAGGATTTTCTTTGTTTTTCATGTTGGTTTCATGTCATAAAGCTTTCGTGTATTAAGTTACCTGTTGACCATGTCTCTCAAATAGTGTCTGGAAACACTGAATAGCTTTGGTTATGAGTGTACCTATTTCAGAAGTGTGTCTGAATGCCTTTCCTTTTTATTATGTGGTTATTATTAAACCGTATAGGTTTCACTATTGCCTGAAAATGACAGGTGGAATGAGACTAGGGCCCAGCTGCTTGCACAGATGGATGTTAGCATGGGAGGAAGAGTGGCAGAGGAGCTTATATTTGGGACTGATCATATTACAACAGGTTGGTTTTTCATAGTATATTACTTGAAATATTCACATTTATTCTTTTAATGATTTTCAGAAGGTATTTATTTATTTGTTTGTTTGTTTATGTCTAGGTGCTTCTAGTGATTTTGATAATGCAACGCAAATTGCAAAGAGGATGGTTACCAGATTTGGAATGAGTGAAAAGGTAGTTTATTTCCCATGTCATTCTTTGATAGACTTATGAATTGATAACATTCTTTTTCATTGTCTGGTTCCTAATTCAAGACTTAATTCTAAGTATTGCTCTGAGTAGTAATAGAAATTTTTTTCTACTTAGACCTCTTGAATTAATAAATTGCTAAATTAAATTATTTAACTCTTTCATCTTTCTGAACTTATTTACATTTTTTATTTCATTGTAATCCTAGATTACATTGTAATCTAGATTTGGGAGAGCTGTCAGTTTTCTGAGAAGACACTTAAAGGACTTTAATTTTCTATCATACCCTCATTTGCTATTTTGATTTGTCCTTATGGTTTCCGTAGAATGATATTTCATTGTACTCAACATTTTTATGTTGCATTTCCTGTCCCCAGTTTATATATAGGCTACTACTTACTGTGCTAAACTTCTTGGTAGTAATTTGTTCAATTATTTTATGCTTTTTGATTTTAGCTTGGAGTCATGACCTACAGTGATTCAGGAACACTAAGTCCTGAAACGCAATCTGCCATTGAACAAGAAATAAGAATTCTTCTGCGGGTAATATTTTTCTGAGCTTGATTTTTTTTTTTATTTTTATTTTACAAAATGTGCCTATGTACTTTAAAAATGGTAACATGGTGGTGGGCAGTTAACAGTTCTAGTCCAGAGTGCTTGTCCTTTATGAAATGCCTTAGGATTAGTCCTAGGACTGCAAATAAAAACAAGTTGATGATAACTACTGATTGTAAATCTCACCCTATAAAATATAGAGATGAAGAAACCCTGAGTGTGCACAAGAAATACTGGTGCAAATTTGGGGATGTGGTTCAGTTGGTAGTAATTACCTAGCTGAGTTCAATTCCCAGCACCACAGAAACGAGGCATGGTAGCATATACCTACAACCTCAGCACTTAGAAAGCAGAGGCAGGAGGATTAGAAGTTCATGGACACCTTTGGCTACATAGACATAAAATATTATGTATCAGATAGGAAAGGTAAGAGGTGCTGAAACCATTTTCTGGATTTCTGCCTCTGGTAACTGTATTGTTTGTGCCATTAACTGAAGAACTTGGAGACCAAACTGGGATGCAAGTTATTGGTGTGGGTAGATTGCTTTTGTTTAATAAGAAGCTACTGAATTTGGATATCATAATGAACACTCTAAGTTAGAAATAGGGATGTTGGTCTGTGGCTTACTAGTAAGGTTGCTTTGTGTTCTTAGATACTGAAGTTAACCCATCTCTTAAGGTGGCTCTTGGGATGAAGGAAAAGATCTGGCTGAGGGGCAGTGTCCATTGAATGAGGAATGTAATCAGTATTTGTCAGATGACTTGTAGCTAATACTCAGATGGTTTGACTTTCAGGAATAGTACTTTCTGCAAGAGAGAGGTTACTAAGGATCTGTAAATGGTGATGGGAACAAAGAAGTGTTTGGAATAACAGTAAGAATTTCAGGAAAGCAGGTCTTCCAAGGAAGCAGCCAGGCTTTAATTAACTGCTGGAGGGTAAAGAAAGAAATGCCCAAGCTAGTTACAACAGAAAAAAATGAACATTCTAGAAAGGCAGAGACTCTCTCGAAACATTTTCCAAACTCTTCTGTGTGATACATTCCATGTGCTGTTTATATTCTTACGTACAAACAGTTCATATTTTGGAACAAAGCTTTTAAGTGCTTTTAAAAGTAGAAATCAACACCCTTTAAAGCCTCATTGATTTTATTTTCTCCTTACCTATGGTTATTGCATTTCTTCATTTTTTTCTATGAAAAAAAATTCTTCATTTTTTTCTTCATGCTTTTCTCTTTCAGGAGTCATATGAACGAGCAAAACATATCTTGAAAACTCATGCGAAAGAGCATAAGAATCTAGCAGAAGCATTGTTGACTTATGAGACTTTGGATGCCAAAGAGATTCAAATTGTTCTTGAGGGGAAGAAATTGGAAGTGAGATGATAACTCTCTTGATATTGCTGGTTTTATTACAGGATATAAGTAGCCCTGCAGTCTCTTTTTTGCTACACTCTTCAACCCCCATTCTTGACTTGGCATATAATTCAAGGATGAGAAACACTTTGTCAGCCTTCTGTCATATTATCATATTTTGGTAATTCCCATGATGACACCCATTGGAGACTAGTAACCCATAGCAAGTACATGAAACATAATAAATAAAGAGCTGTCAGGATTAAAGACAGATTGTTTGAAAAATGTCAATTAATCATGTTGAAAGTAAGCAATCATTTTGTGGTTGATTACTTGAAGTGAGTAAAAATTGTGCCTTTATCTACTGGTAAGTATTTTTTTTTAAATTTTCAAGCTAAAATAATTGAAAAACTATCATCTCCTGATAGTAATATTTCGCTTTGGAAAAAAAAATGCCATGGGTAAATGGAATTTCTACATATATCAGTGGAAAACATTAAGATGTACTTAATTCTGTTCTTGATTCACCATGTAAACTGGCCTTTAAAAGGAGCTATTTGAATTGTAAACATAAAGATATAATCAGAATTTAAATGCTTGTAATGTCTTTAAAATGCAGCATGCGTGCTCATTTTCTTTCAGGTTCTATTGCCTCACTGACGGAATGGTTTTAGAACAGCAGTATTTTATGATGTAAATAAGTAACAAAATATATTCTGAATAATTGTATAATTACCTTTAATCTCAAAATCACAATGAAACCAAAAACTCAATTCTTGTCAAAGTGGTCTTTCAACTACTGCCTTGTCAGATTTGGAAGGCTGTACATCTGCACATATTACACGATTCATCAGTAGTTTCATATTTAAGTCAGTAGAATGTAGAGTGCATTGTATTGGTGTTATAACCAAATTAGATTCTTGAAGGAACTATTAAAATTGCATTCAGTTTTCTCATGGAGGATGTACATGGTCTTCATTGAAGAAAATAGGTATAATTAAAGGGACCTTGTTACATGATATTCTTGGCTTTTTAAAATAATCTTAAGTTTTGATAACAATTTAAACTGAAAATGTTGGTAGAGCTCCTATATATTTTTTATCTAGACTCATATGTTGTTTAAAATTTTTACTGCTTTTTGCTGTCTCCATTGTCACTCATGTTCATGTGCTCACTCTCCTTTCCCTCATTCGCTGCATATTCATACACATACATGTGGAGAACATTGGTGATGCGTTTATCTAACCTTATTTAAAACAGTTTTAGTCACATTGGGTTGTAATTTTCATGTTATAAAACTTGTTCATTATAAAATATATAGACCAAAGACTTTTTTCTGTGCAGTCATCCCAACTCATAGGTTTTAGAACATTTTTTTAAGTTTTTAAAATTCATAGTGACTCTACAGACTTCCTGTGTGTTTTATGTGAGATTTATAGCTTCATTACTACCACTATAAAGTGGCATCTCATCAATGGCATCCAGATTGAATTCCTCACAGTTGTAGTCTCAGCAAATTATACAGCAAGTTTACTGTGGCTTTTGAGTTTTAATTGGTTTATTTCTTCTACTGTATATGTATGCAAAGACTGACAAATCAAATTAGGCAAGGCATATAAGAACAAAGAACCTAGTTATAGGATAATAGTATTGAGTTAGATAGAAAAGATAGTTTGTACATTCCCTATGTGGTATTTGCCCACATTCTGCCAGCAGAGCTTGAAGAAAGATACAATCTCCTTGGGGGAAGAGGGAAGCAAGCACAGAGCATGGCTTTAGAACCACCTTAAAATGCAGTAAAGGACAGACTCCCCACCTGCACTCTTCTGTGGTGTGGTGGTGATGGACTGTAATGGCCATTAGCTCAGAATAGCATACATTCAAAGTGCTGAGTAAAACCCTGCCTGCCAACAAAACTGACCTTCAGAAATAAAACAGTCTCAGAGACAAAAGCTATGAGACATCACCTCTTGACTTATTAAAGAAATGCAAAAGGGAGTTAATTATTCAAACGAAAAGAAACTTGCTAGTAGAATATACTTGAAAATATGAAAGTCTGATAAAAGTAAACACACTTAAATTTAGAGCACTCTGATGATTGAGTTTAAATACTTTTAATATAGATATTAGTAGGAAATATCTACAGTAATTTTCAAGAGATTGTGTGTAGTATGAATAATAAAAACCCAGAGACTGATATAGGGGTTAAAGTTGAAGATCAGAGAAGCAGACCGATAAGCCGCTAGAGAGACCTTTTACCTCTGGCGGTCCTCAGACTGCCTAGACCGCACTGTCTCCACCAGACCTCAGACTCCACACTCTAGTGAGTTCCTCTCTCTTTCCTTTTATTTTCCTCTCACCACTCAGTCATATCACTCCTGTCTCCACCTCTCCAGTGCTGGGATTAAAAGCATGTGACTGCCAGACACTGGGATTAAGGTGTGAGGTGGCACTACCTTGGATCTGTCTGTGGACCAATCTTGTGTAGCCCAGAATAGCCTTGAACTCACAGGGATCTGTCTGCCTCTGTTTTCCAAATCCTGGGATTAAAGGTTTGTGCTACCACTTCCTGGCCTCTAGTCGCTTAACTTTGCACTCTGATCTTCAGGCAAGCTTTATTGAAAAATACAAATAAAGTATCGCTGCAGTTGTGACAGCTACAGATGGGATGTAAAGGGTAGAGGATTAAGTTTTTCCTTTTGAAGTTGTCATCTTAGTTTCTATTTGGCTTCCCTTGGTGATGGATTGTGATTGGGACTTGCAAACTAAGGAAACTAAAGAAACTCTTTTCTCACTGTGTTGCTCTTTGTCATAATCTTTATCACAGCAGTAGAAAGCAAAATGCTAAGTGTCCACAGCAGACCAAACCCAAAGACTAAATAGCAAGTGACAGATGATAGAAAGCCACACATCAAGTCAGGTGCATAAAACACCCAGCAGAAACTAATGGAAGGCCTGGTAAGAGCAGAGCGGCATTCCCGTGGAGTCTTTGGGCAGAGCAGTTTTCCTCAGGTGAGGCTTCCCGGTAAAAGAACAAATAGCAGAGACACACCAGATGAGATGCAAGAGTATCCTGCAGAAGTGGACTGGGAGAGTTGGGGCAGTTGCTGGAGGTTCAATGGAGAGTGGCCTCTCTGCCCTGGGTCAGCTTGCTGTGACTGAACATCTGAATTGTCTTTTTCACTCTGTCTCCTCAATATTAGGGAATAAACAGCAGTAAGAACTGTTGGGAATTATCTTCAGGCTGATTTCAAGGACACATTTTACTCCTGGACTGTTTTACTCTGCCTGTCAGAGTGGTGGGGAACCACCCCCATCTGTCAACAAGGGCCTTCGAGGACACTGAGAAAGTGTCTGGGTCTGAAATGGTGCAGTGGGAGACTGCTCCACTTCGAGAATCAGCCCGATGACCTCTGACAACTCCTGACAGTTTACCAGTGTAGTGTGCATTACATCTGTTCGTGTGTGTGTGTGTGTGTGTGTGTGTGTGTGTGTGTGTGTTAGTATAGGCTATTTCTCCCTGAGGTAGTGTGCAGCATGGGTTATTGACTGTGTTTCAAGCCTGCCTGTATGCCAGAAGAGGGCACCAGATCTCACTGTGGATGGTGGCTGGGAATTGCTTCTGGCAGGGCAGTCAGTGCTCTTAACCTCTGAGCCATCTCCATGCTCCACTAATTTATTTTTAGAGCCCTGTTTTTATCTAGTTAATTTGGCTGTTGCACATTCAGTTGTAAGACCATTTCTTACCCTCAACTCTTAACAGATTAGCATTTAATTTACATATTTAGCATAACATTTCCCTTTCAAGGACCTGGACCCAATGTTTAGGACTGGGCTGATGATCAGTCTTGTCTGGAAGCTGAACAGGGGTAATGAATGAGCTGGATGGGTCCCTTGGGTTCATGCTGAGAGTAGGTGAAATGCAGGGCATTACTTTGGGTGATCTGACAGCCCGCGGTAGAAGGAGATCATGACTGGCATCCCTTTGCCAGCATTATTTGAAATTTTAGGAACTGGAATCTGGAAGGTGCCAATCATAAATGAACAGGAACCAAAGATGAGAAAACATTACGACTAGGGTAGCATATGATACTTCAGCACAATTTGATGGATAATTAAAGAAACAGACCTGATATGCTATTTAAGGAGGTAGGTTTTATTTTATTAAAATGTAATTACATCATCCCTTCCCCCATTCCGTTTTTTTTTTTTTTTCTCTCTCTCTCTAACTTCTGTGGCCTACTGCCCCTTGCTACCTCTCAAATCCCTGGCCTCTGTTTCCTTTGTTATTGCAACACACACACACTAACGCACAACCTTGCTAAACCTTCCTTAGTGTTGCTTTATATGTATGCCATTTCAAGGCTGACCATCTAGTATTGTATAACTGATTAGAGGGCACCTTGAAGCAGACTCCTCTGACTGTGTGAAAATTCCCCTCCCCCAATGGCCTTCCTATTGGTCTTGGAAACCCTTTCCTGTTGGTCTCAAGAGCTGAGAGAAGGCATGTTTTTGGATCAAGTGTTGAGTGTCTGGAGACTGATTTGCCTTTAGGCAGCAGGAACTGAGGGGAAGGTAGAAGGCTGATGGCTTAGTGTCTAGCTATAGTAATATTTTGTGTTTTAATAAATTTGTTTTATTTTACTAGTGTAGTGTAGAACTGTAGCAGCTCTACCAGTTTCTAAGCCAACAGAAGAGTCCCTTTACAAAGCACATGCTAAGGTTCTTGCAGGATCTGTCAGTTTGACAGTAGGTCAGTCTTGACACACTGCCAAGAATGCTTTGATACCCTCATTTTCAAATTTTGCAAACATGCTGATGTCTAAGAACCAGAACCTCTAAATCCTAGGTCTTCTCTAACACTACATCAGTTCATTGCTGGAGAGCCACATGAGTTCACAGCTCCTGCACTTTACCCCCCTCCCCACAGTGCTGCAGGTATTCAATTAACACATGATCAAGACCTGCTTTCAGCTCAGACTTTGGTACCCTTCCTCCAGGCTACTTCTGATGCAAGAATTACCCTCAGTTCTGTGCAAGGCTGTGCATGATTAGTGTGTGAGGACTGCTGACCACTGTAACCTTGCTCTGAAAAACTCAGTTGTATCGGCTTTAAAAGTATTGTTCATTTTGACCTCTTAAACCTTCTGTTGCACTTTTTCTCCAAGAAACAATACAATGAAAATACATTAGCATTTTACACTATAAAATCATAAAACCAGTGTGTAATTTGGGAACACATGATCCGACATACATTCCTAGACAGTTGAAGCTATTTTCCAATGAGATAAATTAAAAAAATAAAGCCAAGAAAATGAAAATTTTACACCAAATATTTAAATATGGCAGTGAGTGTCCATTATTTTAGAACATCAATGCTCACATTTACACATCATTTACTATGCTAAGTAGTGTGCACACTTTATATAAATAACAAAATACCATGGGCACAGGAGACCACTTCCTATGTATAACCCCAGCAGCACAGACATTAAGGGCCTCATTGAATAAATGGGACCTCCTGAGATTGAGAAGCTTCTGTAAAGCAAAGGACACTGTCACTAAGACAAAAAGGCAACCCACTTACTGGGAGAAGATCTTCACCAATCCCACAACTGACAAAGGTCTGATCTCCAAAATATATAAAGAACTCAAGAAACTGGACCGTAAAAGGCTAATCAACCCAATTATAAAATGGGGCACTGAGCTGAACAGAGATCTCTCAACAGAAGAAGTTCAAATGGCCAAAAGACACTTAAGGTCATGCTCAACTTCCTTAGCGATCAGGGAAATGCAAATCAAGACAACTTTAAGATACCATCTTACACCTGTCAGAATGGCTAAAATCAAAAACACCAATGATAGCCTTTGCTGGAGAGGTTGTGGAGAAAGGGGTACACTCATCCATTGCTGGTGGGAATGCAAACTTGTGCAACCACTCTGGAAAGCAGTGTGGAGGTTTCTCAGGAAATTCGGGATCAACCTACCCATGGACCCAGCAATACCACTCTTGGGAATATA